TATTATCATTCTACACATTATATCAAAATATTGATCCTGAACACACATGCGCTCGGTGACTTTTACTCAAAATATCGACGAAATATGTACATTTTTCTGTAAAATTCATAAAAAACTGAAATTTACGTCATGTTTGTAACGTCATTACGTACATACAGCGTCATTACTTAAGAAAATATTCAGTGCTTTGAAGTCAGCATATACTCCCCTGTTTAAGTACTTAATTAAATATATCTCCATCAAAGTTTGATTTGGGTGGCAATAATGGTTATTACCGAATAAAGTTCTTTTCTAGATATTTAATCAAAATATATTCTGTGATGATGCAATTGTAACAACTCTGATATAAATTGTACATGTACTTGTCTGATAAGCTTCCTTGCAGAATTCTTTAGAAAAGGCTTTTTTGACTTATTTTGTACACAAACTGTGTTCCATACATTTTTTGTTCCTGTATAAATTCCAAAACTACTGGGGTATAAATGTCCATCAGGTGTTTACTAATAAAATGAAAGTAAACACATTCACATTTAGGAATTCCACATACAATATTGTGAATACAAACAGCGTTCCATACTGAATGGTAATTGCAACCATTATATATGTGTAGATGATATTTGGCCGGTGTGGAAGTCAATACTTCACTTCTTTGGGAAAAAAAATATATAATTTTTTTGATTTAGTTTTGATTGCATAACAAACTACAGGTTAAAATAACAACCTTTAATGCTAATTGGCTATTGTTTTCAGGCTGTCTGTCATAGAAAGCTCATATAGAAAAAGTACGGTGTGCAAATGGGTAATTCTAAATTCATATTCATCCCTAATTTTAATCTTTCGATTTCCCAACTTTCCCCTGAGTGAATTTTTCTAAACTTTTTATATGTGAGTTACTAATAACTTATCTATAAATCTGCATTAAAATATATACTGTTGCAATTAGTTCTCATTTTTCAGTAGAATGACTAGACTACTAGTTAAAATAGCTTTATGTTATCTTGAAGAGTATGTCCATCGCTATTCACCTCGGAATTTTTGTGATCATGTGACCCTCTAAAGTCACGTGGGCTCCGATTTTAGGTCAACAAATGAAATGTTAAATTTAACCAAAAAGTTCAAGGGCAAGGCAAACAAACAAAAAACTTTACAGTGCTTTAAATTGTCCCTATGTATCTATACTTTCGCAAAAGTGATGCTCATTCAGTTGGTTTTCCGATACATTTAAGTTATTCACCTAAAACAGTCAGTAGTATATCAAAAATATTTTTAAAAAGTTGCAAACCTCTCAAAATAACTATTCTTTACACAGAACTTTTACATCTCTGAGGAGATAATATAATCAAGCATGGAAACAATTAAAATCAAATTTTTATTCATCTCTTGCTGATAAAGTCAGTGATAGTACTAACAATACAAAAAAGTTCTGGCGAAATTTTGACAATTATAAAATTAAACAGCATGAAAGCACTTCAGCTATTAAAATGGAGGATTGGGTGAATCATTTTTCAACATTACTAACATCCAAAGAAGATAATCCTTTTGGAAGTTACTTAGATAATACCTATTTAGATGAGAAATCGCCCTTAGATTTCCCTTTCACCTGTAAAGAAGTAAAGATAGGAATTAAAAATTTAAAAAATGGAAAAAGTTGTGGACCTGACTTAATTTTGAATGAGTTTATAAAAACAAGTTCTAATATTCTCCTTCCAACATTGGTAAAAGTATCTAATAAAATTCTTAATACTGGTAAGATACCACAAGCATGGAATCAGTCATTTATTATGGTTCTTCATGAATCAGGTGATCCAAATAATTGTAACAATTACAGGGGTTTGAGTGTAAATAGTTGTTTAGGAAAATTATTTAGTGGACTACTGCAAACAAGATTGTCAGATTATCTAGAAAGTAATTCTCTTCTAAGCCCTTTCCAGTCTGGCTTTAGAAAGCAGCGTCGTACAACTGATAATATATTTGTTTTAAAAACATTAATTAACAAATATGTTTTCTGCAAAAAAACAGAATTATATGCTTGCTTTGTTGATTTTAAAAAAGCATTCGATACTGTGTGGAGACCTGGTCTTCTTCATAAGCTTTTAAATAAAGGTATTGGAGGTAATTTCTATAGAATTATTGAACATGTATATTCTACTACTGTGTGTGCTGTTAAACAATCAAATGTTCATACTGATTTTTTTCCTACAAATCGTGGAGTAAAACAGGGAGATAATTTGAGTCCAACACTTTTTAACATTTTTATTGATGATTTTACAAAATATTTAGATTCTTCGAAAACATGCCCTGTTCAATTGAACGACATTAACTCTAACAGCTTATTTTTTGCAGATGATTTATTACTTGTATCTGAATCAGTAGATGGGCTACAACAATGTCTTGATTCACTGGAAAGATATTGTTGTGAATGGAAGCTAGAAGTAAATACACAAAAAACTAATGCTATGGTATTTTCTAGTAAAAAACTTAAAAAACTGAGTTGTAAAACAATGAAGTTTAAAGAAGATGTTATTGATTTTGTTGATGAATATATGCATGCGAGAATTTAGCAGGTAGAGCAAGGAAAGCATATTTTATGATCAAATCAAAACTACCAAACAATGTTAGTCTCTCAGGAAAGGTTCAGCTTAAGATATATGAATCATGCATTATACCAATTTTAACTTATGCTTCTGAAATATGGATAAGTGATTTTAAGAATATTACAAAAGACTTTGATAAAACTCCATTTGAAAAAATTCAAAATTTCATCTTGAAAGACATTTTAGGGGCCCATAATAAAGCTTCTAATTTAGCAGTTAGAGTAGAGTTTGGTGCACTTCCCATTATTTTCAGAGTTTATAAATTATTATTTAGATATTATTATAGATTTAAAAAACTTGTTGCAGATCAAGAGAATTCAAACTTACTTTTACAACATGCATATTTAGAGGATGAAAAACTTGCAGGAAGTGGGAAAACATGTTGGCATAACTGTATACAAACTATACTTGATGAAGTTATTGGTTCAAATGCTAATACATTATCAATAAATGATTTTGAAAATAATTTGAAAAAATATTTTGAGAACATAGTTTTTAAGGATATAATAAATATCAGAGAAAAGGGTAATGGCAAATTATCATTCTACAGCCAGTTAATAAGTCAAGGGAATCTAAACAAACTTGAAATTCAACCATACTTAAATTTTTCCATTTCCAAGAATCTTCGTTCTTTTTTGACTCTATTGAGAATAAGTGCTCACAAATTACAGGTAGAGGTTGGCAGATAATGTAACCCAATTATACCAAGAGATGAAAGATTTTGTATTAATTGTAAAAATGTCGTTGAAGATGAACATAATTTTTTATTTGTATGTCCTCTATAAAAACAACTAAGAAGTGAATTTTGTACACTTTTTAATAAAACCTGTATATCTTATGAAATTTTTAATCCAGCAGATGTTAATTCTACAAGGAATATTTGTAAATTCATACGTGATGCGTGTAATATAAGAAAATCTATGTGACTATATATTTTATATTTGTTTACTGTATGTATGACTTGCGCCACATGTGGTTTTTGTCAAATTGAATAAATAAATAAATAAATAAAATAGGGTATTTTCCTAATATCAACGGAAATTATAAATTACCTAAAGGATTACAAAGAAATGAGCATCACATTTTGAAAACTATGCAGTAAAATGAATAATTTAAAATAAAAACCTACTTATTAGACCTTATTAGATTGTTGCCTTGCCCTTGCCCTTGAACTTTTTGATTAAAAATTGACATCTTGGTACAGTCAGTCTAAATATAGTTTTCAAACGCATCGTTGACCCAGCATGGGAGATAATAGTACTTGATAAAGTTTGTTTACCTCGTAGATTTAACTAGGCCTATATACTTGCAGACTGCGCTGGGATCTTTTTACTAAATCGAACAGTATGCATAAAACACTTGATATTACTTTCTATTTTGTGACTTCGTTCTTTATACAATGTATGAATTATGTACTTGTATGTTATAAGACGTCTTTCAGACCTTCTGCATTTCCGGAATTTCCTCGAATATGTGTAAATACACATGCAGCTACATGTAGGTGTAAAATTTGCCGCAGCATGTAATCTAAAACGCCGATTGTTAATAAAAATGGTAATATTCAATAATAATAATTAATTGATAGCCTCAATCAATAATTAATTCGATAACTATACCCCTCTGTCACTACTGTACATACACTTGTGTACAAATATTTTTTTCGCATACAAAATTCTATCATGGCTTTCTTTCAAAACTTCAACTCCTATGGGATTTAAGTTGTACGTGTTACAATCTAATTAAAATTAGATCTTTGATCCGCTCCAGTATTATCGCTACACACATTTTATTCAAAAAGAGGGGGGGGGGGGGTTAGATCTCAAAAAGGTTGAAAATAAATATGTCCCAGACTGGATAAAAAATAAATAATCTGCCCAAGACCAGTTTTCCCCCTCCTATTAATTATTATTTTTAGCTTGTCAGACATTTTTCAATAAATATATAAATAATTTGTCCTTCATCTTATTGGAAATAAATATTTGTAGACCTGTCCTTCATTGACATGAAAAGAAATAAAAAAAATAATGACTTGGGAAAACTTGCCAACCCCCCCCCCTCCTTTCACAATAAAATGGTGGTTCAATTTCCTGTTTTGAATCAATTAGGGGAGCCTTTAATCTCCTTTTTAGTTACTATTATTAACAAATAAAACAAATAAACACAATGTACACGCTTGAAATAAAATCTTGATCATGGACATTGACACCCACCACACAAATATATGCAAGTCAAGATTATCAAATCTTAATAGCCTTTTCAAAACCTGTACAGTAAGTACATGTATATGAAAAAGTCAAATCATTTTTTATGAAGAAATTTTATTTCATTAACAGCTTTTCAAATTAAGGTAGACTGTACAAGGGATACTGAGCAGCTGCAAATTATTTCCTTCACTTCTAATTCTTGTGGATGAAATCAATTCTGAAAATACATGTATGAGAAAATCAGGATATACATGTATTAACATACCATTATTGAGAGTAAATTGGTGTTTAAAATTGAATTAAATTCAGAACAGTGCATGGAAACATGCACAAACATTGGATGCATAATTAAATGTTTGCAATTCTATTGTTATATTTTATTGTTTGCCAGGAATATTGCATGGTAATTTGGTTTATAGCTAATATGGAGCATACCATTTTCCTTTAGTTACATGATGGATTAACTTGCTGCCTGAATGAATCCATTGTTCCAATTCTTTAGGAATAGCTGCAACACATTATATATGCTATTGCTATGAGATATTCTAAATAAAATACATTGTATAATAAAATCACATTACATTTGACAAAACAATTCATGATATAAATGTATACTGTAGTGAATTTATGATATTAAAATTATATTAAAATGTAAATGGAAACAAAGTTGTGTTACAAAACTTTTCTGGGAAATTAAAACCTCTGACATTTACAAGAACAAATATTTAGAATATGAAAAAAACATTCTTTCATCTTTACCAAAATGAAAAATAAATCTAATCATGCACACGTGCATGGTTTAAAAAATGTGAAATGCTTTTTAAGTGTACATACCCTGTGGAGAAATGGATGCATTTTGTATTTATTCATTCTTCAAGCCTTGAACTCTTGACTGCTACAGTAATAAAAGTATTATATATCATATAATTAAAAAAAAATTACATGTATGTATAAATTAAAGAAATTAATTGACTTGACATGAAATCAAACTAAAAAAATAAATATTTTATTCCCCATTAATTTAGAAATTCTATGAATTTAAAACTATAGATCTAAAGTGGAGGTTCTTTGTTTTCACATAATGATACAATTTTTTTTTACATTATGTAGCATGTTTGTATGTCAAAAAGACAACAGCATTACAGTAAATTTTTGTCAACTCATTGACTGCAACAATGAAATTTCAAATTTAATTTAGTTTAAGTTTGTATTACTGTTGAACCCCCTTATTATACATGTTGTCTCAAAGAAAATAAGCTAATCGACTCTATATTTACTTCATTTACATTTTTAAATTTCTAGTAAAAAATGTGATCAACTTTATGTGGGCTGTTATGAGGGGGGGGGGGGGCACACAAACTGCACTGCATTAGTTTTTCACTGACTGTAATACATCTAAATAAACACGTACATACTCGCGATCGCCTTTTTTTCTTCGATGTTAACAAAAGCATATCTACATATTGTACATACATGTGCATACATACCTGGGCTGAATGCACTGCAGTGATGGATCTAGAGAGCTAGTGCAGATCGTCTCAGTCTTCTATCATCTTCTTTAATAATGTCCTCATATTCTCGTATTAGGGATAAACAATGCCTTGTCTCTTATCTTATCCCTATTTTCTTTAATGAATGTCTGGTTATTGCATTAAAATTCAACTGCATATCTCAGCTGATGTCGCCACGTTTTTAGATGTAAACAACATTCCGTGTCATCGAGTGCAAGCGCTTGGCTGAAGCCGAATGCAGCCAAACGGCACATAAGAAAGAGAATTATTTTAAAAACATGCTATTCTGTATAGGAGAAAATCGCTAATAATTATTTATTTAAATATTATCCTGATTACTGCATAGGCATCGATTATGTTGATGTGCTGTTTATTTACGTCCAAGCTTGTTGTTGATAAAAACATTTTAATTGAGATGTGTTTGTCTTTACTTAAGATGCAGCGAATATTTTATAAACAATAAGTCGGTAGCTATTGATATGTACATAGCAATTTACATTAATAATTTTCTTTGAAGTTTAGTACGTACCAGTATAAAAAGGCCATGCCAATTCTACTCGATACCCCATTATTTTTTGGCATTTGGCTTGTCAAAATGGGGAAACGCAAACTTTTAGATTCTGACTCCAGTCAGTCTAAAATTCAGAAATTGTCCATGTTTGGCTTTACTTCCAATTCGGGGTCTGATCATTCAACCCCAGCCTTTCAAACTTCGCCAACAGTCCCAAGTCCAAAACCTTCTACACCAAAACGTAAATTTAACGTCAGTTGGAAATTAAATAGGGACTGGTTAAGATATGATTCCAAATTGGGCATGATGTTTTGTGACATCTGTATTTCGGCCAATGTACGAAATGTTTTTACTGAGGGTACAAGCATTATGAAGAAAGAAAACGTAGTCAAGCATGAGAAGGGAAAAGGTGCTTATCTTCTAATAGTAAAATAAATTGTAATTTTTAAATAATAAAGATTTTTTTTAATTCTACATATATAATTTACCACAATTTTTAAAAGATTTTTTTCCCTATATTCTACATATATAATTTAGAATCAAAGGATAAATAAATAATTTAAAAAAAACAACAACACAATAAACCTTATTCGACGTAAAATACTAATTTTTTTCTTTTCTATTAATTAGGTGACAATAGTCACTCTGCAGCTCTACAAAAGTCCAAATCTGCTGAAAACATGGAAACTGTCAGACAAAATGCCCTCTCCAAGAGTAAATCTGCAATTATATCTGCCTTCGAAACACCTACTTTGCTGCATCAAATGACCTGCCCAATTCCATGGTTCCCAGACTAAACAATTTATGCATATCCCAGGTAGTAATTAATTCCATCATCATTTTCTTTCAAAAATTAAAATTAAATTTGTATCAATCTGAATCTTAAATCAAAATCTATTTAAGGTCTACTTAAATAAAAAAAAATAATTTTTTGTTTATTATTTTTAGGGTAGTTCTCAGCTTAAAGATCTCAATGTTGATTCCCATACAACATGTGAGAGTAACAGCAGTGTTCAGGAGTTTCAGCAGTCGTTGTCCGATGTGATTCTTGATAGGCTCGTAGATAGGGTTAGGGGTAGCTCTGTATTCATTGTAATGTTAGACGAGTCTACAGATGTCTCAGTTCACCAGAATCTCATAGTATATGTTAGGTTTTTAGAACAGATAGGTAGTAGGGTAGTTCCATCTGTAGACTTTCTAGGCATTAGGCAGTTGTCAGTTGCAAATGCAGAGGCAATTTCTTCAGAGTTGATAGGTTTGCTTAAGGATAAGGGATTAGACTTGGATAGGTTAGCTGGTGTTTCAACAGATGGGGCTTCTGTGATGGTAGGGTGTAAGAGTGGAGTAGTTACTAGGCTTAGAGAAATGTATCCAGGTATCTTAGCAACCCATTGTATAGCACATAGGTTAGCACTTGCATGTGGGGAGGCAGCTGATAAGGTCACTTACTTAGTTAAGTTTCAGGCAGTTCTGAATGATTTGTATAAGTATTTTGAGAGATGTCCTAAGAACATGGCTAGGTTAGAGAAGGTTCAAGGAATCTTAGATTGTAGCAGGGGCACTAGGCTCAAGCAAGTTTCCCACACTAGGTGGTTAAGTTTTGAGGGTAGTGTTCAGGCAGTAGTAGACAATTATCAGAGTGTAGTTGCAGTCATGTTAGAGGAAAGTTCTGCTAAGGCATTAGCTCTCCACAAGCCCATTTCTTGTTACAAGTTTCTGTATGTTGCACACTTCTTAGCTGACGCTTTGAAGCCATTAGCTGTGTTGTCAAGGTCATATCAAAGGTCAGATCTAGATTTCACTGAGGTCAATTGCCTTCTGCATTCAACTGTCAAGGTCTTGGACAATTTGATTAGCAACCCTGGTGGTAACTTGTCTGCCTTTCTGCAGCATGTTCCATCTGAGCCAACTCTTGATGAATCAGGTCTTTACACATTTGAGTTTCAAGGTCACATAGTAAGGGATAGTCTAGTACAAAGGTCAGAGGCAGTTAGGGCATGTAGCACTTTTATAGAGGGTGTTAAGGCTAGTTTGCAGTCTAGGTTTACTGATAGGGGTGATGCTTTGGTTTTGTCAGCTTTGAGTAGGTTTTTTGATCCTCAGACAGTTGTTGATAGGACTCCTCCTTCTGAGGACATAGATATCATAGCAAACCATCTTTCAGTATGTAAGGTAGCCAAGGTCAGAGATTGTAAGGATGAGTTACGGAATTTTGTAGAGTTCTGCAGGGCTAAGGTAGACTCAAATTCTAGGGTAGGGTCTAGCAGCTTAGATATTTGTCAGGTAGCATTTAGGGCTAGGGCAATGTTTCCCATCGTGGCAGCTGCTGCTGAACGCCTGCTCACTGCTCCTGTCAGCACTGCAGACTGTGAACGAGGTTTCAGCCGGCAGAACCTAATCAAGACCGATGTGAGAAACTCCCAGTAAATTTCCACACTTGAAAACCTTATGAGACTTTCCATCTCCAGCAAATCAGAGGAAATGGACTATGAGGAAGCCTTCCAAAAATGGAGTCGCACCAAATCCAGGAGGATTTTCTCTGTGAACTTTCAGTGACTGTGATATGGTGATGTGAAGTGAAACAGTCTAATAGACTAGTGCTCCCAACATCTTTTAAGGGAATGACAGTGCTGTGACTTGTATGCTGGTGCTTGAAACTTTCATTATTTTTACTTTGATATGTGTAAATGTAGTGCTTTATTTATGATGTTATAAAATGCATACCACTGCATCTGTTACATGTATGATATCTGTTTGGTATATCTTGTTTAAATCCACAATAAAATATTATAAAACATGCAACTTGTTATTTTTTCAGGAAAATTGTGGTTGGATATTAATTAAGTGAAACATTGAGTCATGATTGAAATGACCACAAGTTTAAAATGAATGTTATAGTAGATATGATATGATATATGGCACATATTTAAAAATGAATACAGTAGTATATAAATGGCATGATCAATATGATGGGAATATTGTTCGTAAAAAGGTCGTGATACGCTCCACGCAAAAGTGGCGAAAAAGATTTTTAGTCCAGTGGGAGCCCTGGGAGGATCAGGAAGATTTGGGAGAATCGGAGGACTACGATACAAGAAGCACTAAAAACGAAACCTGCATTCATTTATGTTCAATCAAATTGTACGTGATTGTTTGTTGCTAAACGCTACAAAGAAATAATTCAGCCACAATTAAGGGGCAAATTGAATTTGAAACATTTGTAATAAAATTTTGGATCTAACATCAGCTTTGTTTTGAGAAAAAAAAAGTCATTATATCATCAAGTGCATGAATGTATAAATGATCTAAATACAATACAGTTATATACTGTATGTACCAAAACGGGTTTGACTTGTGGAAAGTACTTGATTTGCTACTTTTTGCGAAAGCTTTCAATTATTAGCAGGATTTTTAAAATAAAGTTTACTTCTCCCCACTTTGCAAGTACTTATTCATATAGCTGGAAACAAAACAAACATGATTTTAAACACGGTTATTTGATATTGGCGATTGTTGGTCGTGGCATATATAAAAGCAGCAAGGGGTGTTCAAGCGTAAAGAGCGATCCCAAGTAACAACAAGCAGCAGCAGCAAACCGCATGAAAGCATAACAAGTTAAATTGATGCAAAGCATCAAATCGGCCGCACACAAAATTTAGCATTAAAAAAAATTGTTTCACAATTTTTAAAGTGTCCATGCAAGGAAAGCACGGCAAGATATTCAAAAGTGAAATATTTGAATCATCATATTTTAGGCTGTCTTCAAAGCAAAATGAAAAATTAAATAAAATTAAAACAAATAGACATTTTATCGCATTTGCTTATAAATTGATTCATCCATGTAAAAAAGGTCAGCGATAAATGATAAGAATTATTGTCATCAAAAGGAAGATGTAGGTCTCTCAAGATGAACCACGTGCTGATACCCTGGATCTTGGTCACGTGATAATGCCCATGGCTTTGCTGCAATGCGCAGTTCAAAATGTTTAAAAATTTCTTTGTGTTATTTACAACTGTAGAGCATGTTCAATTAAACAATTTTTACTGGTTGAAAAATTTTTCAATTTTTACTCACCATGCACTTTTGCACGTCATTATTATCCGGAAAATCATGACGATTTCCTTTCATATCTTATACACTCCCAGGATGGGGAGTATCTATTGTAAACTCTTTTTACATAACCATAAATTATCAATTATCTAATCAGAGATGATAATGAAATTGAAACATAGTAGCAACAATTAAAACTAAGCTTAAAGCAATTTTTAAAAATATTTTTTACTAATGATTTTTACTTGTTATCTTTTGAGAAATATTTTCCTGACCTAATGAGAAATAACGTCTCATTCCCCCATGTGTACTTTCCAACACAATCACAAATAGATCGGCCGCTGCTGCGGCCGATAATGAACTCATAATAAACATAGTAATGGCCCTTCCGGGTATATCGCCATCGGTAAATAACCTAACAATTATATTTCATGCATTTTAAATAAACTTAACATGACTGTAGTTATCATTCTGTGTTGACCGCGAACGTTACTTAAATTATTTTAGCAAGAAGTTAAAGCATTGCATTAAATTTGTTGAAAACAGTACACATTGTGCACAACAACTGACTTTGATTAAGCAAACAAAGCAGACCAAAATATGAAATTGTTGAAAGCAGTCAAATTTTTTTATTTGATATTGGCGATTGTTGGTCATGGCATATATAAAAGCAGCAATGGGGTTTTTAAGCGTAAAGAACGATCCCAAATACTGTAAAATTGGAAATTTTAGCGAGACGCAAATTTAGGGATTTTTCCTAAACAGTATATATTTTATTTTTAGCGAAAGGTAATTTTAGCTATAGTAAATCAAGTTCAAAGTTTTTGCGATCGTACATCAAAATTCCACAGTTTTTACTTTAGTAAATCAAAGTTACAAAGTTGTTACTTTGGTACTATAATTAACTATAGTTGACTGTTTTTGTTAGGGTTGCCCTGGATTCTAAAACGAGAGTAACACGAATTTTGTAGCAGACAGAATTTTGAGAAAAAATATAGTTTTAATCACATTGGTTTCTAAATTCCCATCCCATCCCACATCATAAGGTAGATCAATGGTAGAATTTGCATTATGACTAATGTTTTTTCTCTGCTGTTAGGTTTTTCTCTATTATTTCATGTTTTGACAGGCGTATTCGCTTCACTTGAAGTTTTAAGTTGTGGTATTTCATTGGCCTAACTTTGAATGCTGTTATTTTGATTGTGTGTTTACTCTCGCTCCAGCTTAACATTTCATTTAATTGGCTTTTCTCATGTCACCTCAAGTTTCAGTTTGCACCGAGCCATTTAACTGATGCTATAATTCATTGTGCTGCTGCAGCTTAAAACAAACACGTTTACTGTGAAAATTTGGCTGCTTTCAACAATTTCATGTATTGGTCTGCTTTGTTTGCTTAATCAAATTCAGTTGTAGTGCACAATGTGCACTGTTTTCAACAAATTTCATGCACTGCATTAACTTCTTGCTAAAATAATTTAAGTGAAGTTCGGGTCAGCGTAACCCAGAATGATAACTACAGTCATGTTAAGTTTATTTAAAATGCATGAAATATAATTGTTAGGTTATTTACCAATGGCGATATACCCGGAACGGCCATTATTATGTTTATTATGAGTACATTATGCTTCCATGCAGTTTGTCGCTGCTACTTACTCGCATTTCGGTTAAGGACTTCCGCGTGGTAGAGCTCATGAATATAACGTTACCTAGCTCCGTCCATTTTCATAATTATTCGTGAGAACATTTTATTCTGTATTTTAGTTTTATCTATTCATTTATCGATACTTTAAAGATTTGTTTCGTATAGTGTCTGATAAATTTCATTTGTTTGTTTCGTTTTGGTCGCTAGATCAGCTCTATAAACGAATTTTCTATGAAATTACCCTATGTCGTTTGGAGCTGATCTACGTCGTCTCGGCGCTTTCGCCGTCTCGACAAGATTTTCAACCGTGGATGGCAGGTGGTGGAAAAGTCTGTCCGTTCCAGTGTTTTGATGGAATTTACAGCAAAATTGCTGCATGGCACGATGGTAGATGCCGAATACTGTAAAAGTGGAAAACATTACGGTGTTTTTAATTTCACTATGTTCACGATTAAAGAATTTTCCGCGAACTTTAAACCATCGTGATTATTATTTCACATCATTTCTACCTAGAAACAGTCATAGTACCTGAATCTTTACAAACAATTCTCCGCGAAATTAAAACCACCGTGAAAGGTAACTTTCTAACAAACCGTGAAATTTTAGACACGTGAAATTAAAGACGTCTACAGTATATATATATATATATATATATATATATATATATATATATATATATATATATATATATATATATATATATATATATATATATATATATATATATATATATATATATATATATATATATATATATATATATATATATATGTGCTGGGAAGAGTATTATTGTAAGTTTACACTTTTATTTAGACTGTTTAACCGTCATTAAATGCGATATTTTAACAATTTTCGCTGACTTCTTTCAGACCACGTGGTTTACGTTCTTTATGATGTTTTTTTTCTTTTTAAATTGTATTTAACTTATATATACTAGCAACTTTAGTCTGCTAGCATATACTGTTCAATTAGTACAAAAGATTATGCATTTCATATTCACTGTTACTAATTAGATACACTCGGAACTCTCAAGTTTGAAATACAGGGGCTCTTTATGGGAATTTGCCCACGAAAATTCTTTTTTTTTTTCGAATCTATACAACATTTGCATTAATTGTTGCAAAATGAAATATCCCACAGGAGTCTGTGCACTGCACAAGTATGAACAAAATGTGCACAAGTATAACTCTGTATAAATGAGCACCTTGAACAAGCATGACTGTTTTACATGTTACATAGATAGATTTTTTAAGGAATGTTATGAACTTTAATAAAAGTTTTGTGTGTTTTTGGTGTGTGAAACACATAGACTTGTCACGTAGGCATATTTCATGAAACGTGCTAGCGCTACAAGAAAAATTTGCCCACGTGCAAGTCTGTTTGATTCACCCACCAATAACTCAAGATGCATATTATTGTTAATCCTTAAACCAAATTATTATACCTCTACTGATTTTATCTTAATTATAAATGATAGAAATCTCGAAAAATGGAATAGTTCCTGTGCGTAAGTGAAATGAGCTGATCACTTCTTCGGAAGCTAGGCCTAATTATTCGTAATCCCAAGATTTTACTTTTGTGTCGGTCTAATTAGTTGATGAACTAATCCCAGTGAATTTTATTGGAAGTTTATTCCCAGTCGTTCATGATCCTCTCTGTTTTTATTTTGCTGCACCTCAGCAAATAGTCATGGCCATGGGGATGGAATCTTGCTAACTCCCTCAATTATATAACGTGAACTGTATACATACTGTTCCTTTTGCCTAATGACCTCAGGAAACAGTTTGGTTCTTGGATTAATTAATAAAACTGATTTTGCCCTTTAACTAATTCAGTAAAATAAATGTATAGTGTTTAGGGAGTCCAATTTTCATGTATTACAGGTCACGATATCAATGAACTTGCGTTTCATGTATTACATGTTACGATATCAATGAACTTACCAAACATAGAGAGTCTTTTATTCTTCGAACTTTTGCACCTGATAGAGGTTCGGGAGCTGTGTTGTCGCAGAGGGAAGATGATCAAAAGTTACCAATAGCATACTCGAGTAGGAAGTTGAAAGAGTGTGAAGGTCCATATGCAACAGTGGAGAAAGAATGTTTGGCTATTGTTTGGGCGATTCAGAAATTTCAAAAGTATTTATGCGATCAAGAGTTTGTTCTAGAGACTGATCATAGTCCACTTGTGTATCTCAATCAGTCAAATGTCACTAATCCTAGATAAACGCGTTGGGCACTCAGTCTCCAGCCATATCGATTCAGAATCCAAGCTATTAAGGGAAAAGAAAATGTATGTGCAGATTATCTTAGTCGTTTGTAAATAAATGTAAATAATTTGACATTTGTTAAGATTCTGAATTGTATTCTCATTTTTAGATTTTTATGTGCTTTAAGCGTTCTTTTGAAAATGGTAGGTAGTTGTTTCATTTAATTCTCCTAATCGAACACCCAAGTTATTTGTATTCACCTGTGGGGAGCCTCCATTTTTCATTTAACCCCGTTTTATACCTCAAATCACTGGACCTTTAAAGTATTGGTAAGCCCGTGCTTGAGTTTGGTCACGGCAGTCTAGGTAGAAGGACCTTTTCAAAAAAAGATTTATTTGATTTGTGTTATACACATGGCAGACCACTGAGGGTATTTCAACCCAACCCTTATTTAGAATCTATAGCATGGTCCTGCCTCTCTTAAGTAAGCCTTATTTACGTTTTTTTTTTATTATTTCATAAAATTGTAAATATTCTAAAACACCCATACACAGAATTTCTAAAATATGCAACTTTAAGCTATTCCATTTCATAATTTTAAGTTCTGTTACGTTGTATTCGAAACTGATTAAGTCTTAAAAGTATGGTGGATTGTTTGTGTCATTATTTGTCGGTATTTTTCCTGTAATAACTGTTGTGAAATATAGCAATTATTGCATTGTACATATTGCACTGTAACGTTTCACAGCGTAAATTGTAGGTCTATATTATCCTGTATATGATATTTAACAGGTCTCATTGATCATTCCTGTATAGAAGTGTAGAGATGGCGGCCCGTACCAGTCACATCTCATAGTCTTGAACGCAAGACGGACGTATAACCTCCTTGGCACTGGAGAGGGGGAAGTGTAATATCTTCGAACTGGAGAGGGTTATTTGAGCCTCCTTATAATTAGCGGCAAGGGACAGTAGTGTTACCCGAAAACCGTTTGGAACCATAGTCTACCGACATTCGAGGGAAACGGAAGACCACACACACCAAAGCAGTTTATTTTGTTGTATAATGTTTTGTTAAGTAGAAAGAAAAGTTTAAATTTACCAGGACCGTTTAAAAATTACGCAGACTTGTTGCACAGAAAAAAATATTTGACGACTTAATCGGGCAAAATGTCACACATAATATAAAAGAATCTTTATTCATATGGTCTTCAAAATTTCATATCAAAATGTTGTACATTGGTATCAATTTTGAGTGATTTCTCAGGACATATTATTAAGTAACGGAGCAGCAAAATCTGCGTCACAGGCATTATAAAAAAATATGTTATTGAGCTTTCATTTTCTCAACATTTTCCCAAGAGTACTGTAAAGTTTGAGTTACTTTATATCCTCAACATCCAAACAGCATTTCTTGTAAGCTTTACATCTATTAAACAAGAAAAGAATATTCTTTTTTCTTTTGAAATTAAAAACTGCAGGTATTTATGAGGTATGGTGTGATATTGGTGACTCTCAAGAACATTCTTTACAAGCCGTATAAAGTTTTCGTCGATAAACTTCTTCCCGTCCTCCCGTATAGCCTTTTTACATAGGTCTAACGGTCTAAAATTTCAATTTGCTATTTGTGGACAAATATCAAGAATACTCTAGTTACTTCATGTTTTATAATGCATATTTTGGATCTATGTAGGTGATATCTTTAGCATTACTAATAAATAAACAAAAGTGTGCCACAGTGGTGCGCCGTCAATTCAGGAGACGTCATTTTCAAGTCGTTTTCACGGGAATCGCATCAGAGAAAAATCAGTTTATTTCGGTTAGTACTTCAAATATTACGTCAGAAATCGAAATGCATAATAATTGAACAATTTAGAGATACATTTGTGAAGATTGCCGAAAAATATCGCGATTTATAGAAAATTGATGAATAAAATTTTGGATTCTGCATGCCTTATCTTCAATTTTTTGTCGTGCTCCGTACCTCTCCATCAGCGATATCAACAAACCGATAATTTTAGTAGAATTATTTAAAATGCAAAAATTTTGCCTAAAACTTATTGGAATCTTTAAGATGATTATTTCTGTGAAATTTCATAACTATATGACGTCTGTAAGAGTAAATAATAGCACAGTCCGCGTAATTTTTGAACGGTCCTCGTAGAAAAGATTTTCTGTTATTTATAAAAGAGGAGTTTGGTTCACTATTCTCTACGCAAGGTCAGTATTTGACATGGTGCATGAAGTAGGATACGGAGATAACGAACAGTAATCAGTCTCAAAGTCCATAAACAATACAAAATAAGAGCAGAGCAAACATGGAACCCCGAAACATCAGAGGTGGGATCAGGTGCAACGTAGGAGTAAACATCCCCTGCCGACCGGTCACACCCGCTGTCTGCTCCCTGTCATGATCAGGAAATAACGAAAATCAGTAGTCAATTCAGTGTATAAATAATGGACCAACAATTGGTATGAAAAACGTCAGTCAGCATTTGTTTCAATGATAATTTGTATTTGCTGACAAGGTCATTGTATCGACCGTAGAACTTACGAAATGATTACTTTAAACAAAAATACTGATATTCTTGTTTTGTCAACTTGCTTGTCAATAATTTACCTCGTTTTAGAAATTTGTCATAAGTAGAGCATGCTCTTGCGTATCGAATCAACTATGATATATAGACTCCATGTGCATGTGATGAAGGTATATTGCTGCATAAGGAGAGAAGTTGACTATAGAAAAGTTAAAGTCATCACGTTTATCATATATCATACACTAATGACGATTTCAATAGCAGTTTAGATTAATTTGAATAAGTTGAGTGTCTTTCATTCTTTTTACAAGTATTGGAGGTTGCAGCTCCTAACCCGCCTTAAAACTGCTTTAACCCGCTGATTTGCACTTTTCTCGCTTCCCTACAAAAGAAAATGGCGACGCCCATCATAGTTGATACCCTGCTAAGGTTTTACGCTGCGCCACCTCACATGCGGATCTATAATCAAAATGGCGGCCGTACCGGTAAAGTGCAGCCTGTCCCAATTTTTTCTTAAATATTTTGTATCTAAATGCAATACTTCTTAAAAAAACTTGTCACTGACTACTGAAGATGTCAAATATTCCAAACCATCAGCCTTCGGTCTCAGGGCGTATGAAATAATCCCCGGGAGAGATCCCCGTACACCTTTGATTGAACCTGGATTGAACTCGGCACTTAGGGCCATTGAGCAGTGAGGGTTCCGTATCATGCCAAAGCCTACCTCTACATGGAACCTATGTTTTTTAATGTCATATCCGAAAAACCCTGACTTTCAATTCTTGTGCCGAGCGCTTTGCGAAGGAACAGTCCCTACATAGGAAAGATTGGCCACTGACCCTCTTATATGCCGTACAACGTTTGCCAGAATTGTTTGACATTTTAAATCAATGCACTAATGTTTTTTACCGCATTTCGATTAATATTTTTTTTTTTTTTAAAACGCCGAGATTTTATTTTCAATCAATGAACAAATGAATACAACACACTTAAGATTTTTTTTATTAAAATAAGTAAATATTTGTACTTTTTATATAATCTTAAAATTTTCTTCAATAATTGCCTCTTGTCATTCTACAGAAAATACCTGTTTCTTTTGACTCGTCTATACATGTAAGTCGTACATAAAGTTTTTGACCAAGATTTAACATCTGAAAACGACTTAAAGGCGAGTTCTTATGGGTTGCCGTGTTTTGCTGAAAAGTGCTGCAACGTGCCTACATGTACCTGCCAAAGCAAGGCTGAAATATTTCTGACTGGGCATTAAACAATAAACACTCAATTATTTGTGCCTACATACTGCATCTCTGAACATTTGATAACAAAATATAAAACGCAAGTAAATCAGTTAAATAAAAAATCCTTGCACTAGAATTCACACGTATAAAAAACAAAATGACTCCCATTCTGCAGATCCACGAAATAATCCGTTATCAAAAATGGTTTAATCTCAATCGCTGGAATTATCAGCGGTTAACTGTGAAGAACTGAGAAGAAATAAGACTCAAAGTAAATATAACATGCTTAGAATTCCCTTTCAGTACAAAATAAAATAAATTTTATCTCAAATAAATTCAACAAATTCGCCCGAGAAGAATGATAAGCAGTTGCTCATTTGGCGTATAAAATTATGCGGTCATTTTTTTCTGTAAAGTTTACGTAACAGAAATGTTAAAGTGTAGTTGACCCGGTCCCACTTGTGCTGTGTGAGGAGCTGCTTCTAGTAAGATTAAGGTGAGTTTTCTTCGGAAAGCAGAGAATCATCAGCTCTTTTCTGAATTTCCGCCCGCTTAAACACACACATTTCCGCCCGCTTAAACAATACAAGAAGAAGTTGATGGAGGAATTAATGACGATTCCCAGTTTAGCGATTGAGAAAGCTTCGTCCACCATGCGGTAGTTTACCTAAAAATAGCATCACGCAATGAGGTGTAAAACCAGTACATTGATATTAGAGGAATGAATGTTCTTTTTCAGAATTTATAGATGTGTAAACTCATTCATTTAAAGCACTTTTATGTGACGTTTCTGAGTTCAAAGGCATGAGTTCACACATCATTAAAATTTGGGAAAAAATCGTTTGAGGTAATTGCAAAAACTTTTTTTCAATTTGAATTAACACCTGATAGAACACTATCTTTTTGAGGAATTCTTTTCAATAGGTGTACTGATTATTAAAATATTGTAAAAAAAAGAATTTTAAAAATACATGTACATTTTTCCTTTATTTAAATAATTATTTAATCTTTAAAAAATGTTGACAAGGGCAATAACTCCTTCTCAAGTCTCTTAATTCAGGCATTTTTTGTTCTTGTACTTCTAATGTAAAAATGTTTCCTTGACATTCAAAATTCAAAAGTATCTTATAAGTTGGAAGTATTCAGGATCATTCATCATCAGAATTATGCATTAAAAAAAAATTACATTAATTTTTTATATTACTTTTTACCAAAAATGTGTGATTTTTTGTCGACATACCCGGTATATTTGTTATTTGTGTCTCCCATCTTAAATAATATGGCGACCTATACATTGTTTACAAGAATTGAAAAATGTAAAGTATATTAAATTATGAAAATAAATGCAGTTTTTGTACTTTGAACCATTAGAATAGTGAGTTTGGAAAGACCTTTTGAAGCCTCCATTAAATCCGGGAAAATAAATCTTAAGCGAGATGAATGTCGATAAATGTCAACTTAAATTGTTAGAGCGTTCAATGACATAAACTTATAAAAACCAAGGGAATAGTGTTTAAGTCAAGAATTAATTAAATCAAGTGAACTTCAAAATAATTCTCCCTTGAATTATCTTGATCTTGTTGCCATTAACGACAACACTCCCAACAGAAAGTAGCAGATCGACGGCGACGGCAACTTTAATTTTCTCTAGCTTGTCCAAATATGGAAAGGAATAAGCAAGAATCTGAGGCACGTTTCTTTTTCCATTCAAAACACTACGAAAAACTAATTAATTTATTTACTGGCCTATTAGGAATGTCAAGAATTTAAAACAAGACTCACACTTGCGATCTGACAGTGTAATGAACATAATACACAATCATGAAAAAAAGATTAATTCGAAGTAGTTATGGCTGAAAAAATTATACATGTGTAAACTTGTTCTTGAATTCGTTCTAGTCCAATGAACACACTTGGAAAAGAAAATTAAGATTGAAACTATCGATGGATACACTATTCCATATAAATATAAGAGTATATCGTCTTTCCTTACATTCAATGATTTCAACAAGCACTGAATAAAAGCAGCAATAAATCATATGGAAAATAAACTTACATAAGATATATGACACAAATTAAAACGTTTGTAAATAAATTACTTACACTTTCTGGTTTCAGCATCCAGACACATTGAGTAAGACACTGGAATATGATTAGAAATAGGAAGGTGAAGGTCACCGATAATAAAAGACGTGTCAACTGGGCTTCAGCTCTCCTTGTCTTATCTTTCGCAAGTTTTGTTTTCCTGTTAGATTCAATAACCTTTCGTAAAATAAGGATATTGAAGGTAAAAACTGAGAGCCAGGGAGCGAGTACCAGAAACATATGTAATGGTTCGGGCCGTGGATATCGGCCTGGATAGCTCAATCGGTAGAGCACCTGACTAGTGATACAGGGGTCCCGGGTTCGATTCCTGGTCCAGCCATACATTTTCTCCTTTCCTGTTACAGATTTGGTGCCGTTGACCACCCCTGGAATTGCAGGTGAAAGTCCTGCCAGGGGCAATAAGAACTTGGGTTGTGTCTTCGAGAGCGAAGACCATTTAAGGAGGGAGGAATGTGGCGGTCAGCCGGGTTCGATCGCCGGTGGCCAGATAGCTCAGTTGGTAGAGCACCTGACCGGAGTTTCAGGGGGCCCGGGAATTATTCATTGAGATTATTGAGATTCATTTTTCAGATTAAATTACATTTTTGTTAAAGCTTTATTTATCCTGTGCCATTTTCAAAGATTTTTCTGTTTGTTAAATTTTGATCATTATTTATTATTTGTTATCATTTACAACGGTTAATTCTCACTTTATTAAATTGATAAAACTTACAACTGTGTTTTCATTTAGCGTTGACCATAGTTCAGAAATCCCCTTACCTGGGTTGATCATTTATAACTGGAGATAGTTTACTCCTTTCAGCCAAGTTGGCTAGTAACTTTGGTAATTTATACACTGAAGAGTTCTACTTCCGGTTACATAATTTTTGGTGCCGTGACCAGGATTTCTGAATAGAAACCATGGCTTCGCTAGATTCAGATTCTAATAGAGTAGAAAGAGCTACATCAACCCCTAGAGTTGATAGGTTAAGTTCAAGTCAAGGTGCTAGACCTAAGCTTATGTCAAGAGTCAACCAGCCCTCTTTGTCCTTTCCTGTGAGTGAGATTGAGATGCATGAGAGTAAACTAGATACTAGCATGAGTTTACAGGTTTCAGATTTAGAACAACTGTTGCAGGACCTCACTACAGACTTTGAGAAATGTAAGCATGAGATTGAAGAAACTCTTCGACGCAAACGTCGTGTGTCATTTGCTGAAGGTAATGATAGGGATAGACAAGCAAGACAGAACAAAGTTGTAAGAGAGACAGTGACACCCTTCGATAGAGTGAGAGAAACAGAGAGTTTGAGTACCTCACCTGCACAAATAAACTTTGCACAGAGAGACAGAAGTGAGAATCTCAGTAGGTCACAGACAAATATGTCTACACTGCCCAGTACCCCTGTAAATCTTGGTAGACCTAAACGTAGAGAAAAAGAACCAGACAAGTTTGATGGTAGAAATGTAGCATGGCAGGATTACTTAGTTCATTTTGAGCAAGTTTCTGATTGGAACAATTGGTCTCATGAAGAAAAGTCACAGCAGTTAGTCATGTCATTAAGGGGGGAGGCACAGAAAATTCTAGGTGACCTATCTCAAGAACAAAGAAAAGATTATGATAACTTAACATCCATCTTATCTAGTAGGTTTTGTCCGAAAGAACTTGTAGTTGCACATAGGGTAGATTTTAGATCGCGTCTTAGAAAACAGAATGAAAGCCCTTCAGATTATGGTTTTGCGCTTAGGAGGTTAGGAAACTTAGCTTTTCCAGATATGGCTTATTCTGATAGGGAGATAGTTGTTTTAGAGCAGTTTATGAGTGGAATTGGGAATTCTGAAATTAGATCTCATGTCATTTTACATCATCCTAAGACTTTAGAGAGTGCCATTTCATTAGCAACAGAATTTGAGGCAGTTAAGGGGCCACAACTCTCCATCACTAAGCCAAGTGTAAATAGTGTTAGGACAGATAATGAAACTACACCTGTTAAGACCCCTGATGAGTTATCAAGTTTAGTTCAAACTCTTGAGAAATGCGTTAACAAAATGGCAAATAGTTATCGGGGTGGTAAAAAACAAACAGGGAAAGTGATAGAGTGTTATAAATGCCATCAGTTAGGACACACAGCCAGATACTGTCATACACAAAACAATAGTGATAGGGTAGATAAAGATAAGACACCCCCTTCTCACACACCATCAGTTAGGGATAAAGAAAACTTCCCGGGGTTGCATTCGAAGCCCACAGTGTGACCCGAAATTCTGTTGATAGTAGGGCTACTCAGAAGTTAAGAGTTAGTTTGCTTCAGAAGTCATGTTTAAGTGTAGGCTGTACTGTAGGAGAACATGTAAATAAGTTTTTAGTCGACACTGGTTCTCAGGCTTGTTTGATAGACAAAGATGTTTTTATGACTTTTGAGAATAGACCCCCTTTGAAACCTTGTGTTTTGTCATTAACCACAGCAGATGGTAGTGCTATGAAAGTTTTAGGGAAAGTTGACTTAGAGTTTAGGATAGGAGATAATTTGTTTTGTCATGAGTTTATTGTTACTGAGTTAGGAGACTTGTGTGGAATCCTTGGGATGGATTTCTTGGAGAACAATGATGTGACAATTCAAGTTTCTAGGTGTCTCATGTTGATAGGTGGTCAGCATATTCAGTTAGAGAGGGAGACAACTCCTATTTGTGCTAGAGTCAAGGTAGCAAAGAACATAGTTATTCCCCCTGATTGTGAAGTTTTTGTACTAGGGTATGCTGTAGGTGATTTGGACGCTTCTGTAAATAATTTGTTTGAGCCGTTCAAGTTTTTAAATCAAAAGGGTCTGTTAGTTGCTAGAACTTTAGTGAATCCTGACAAGATTTTATTTTCTGTTGTAAATATTTCAGACAAGGTTGTTAGGATAAATAAACACACAACAGTGGCTTCTGTACAGCAAGTTGACATTGTAGAGTCTGATAAGTCTATGAGTGATCAAGTTTCTGTAGAACTTCCTGAACATTTGCAATCATTGTTCGATAGGTCTTGTGAGAGGTTATCTGAAAAAGAGAAATCTCAGTTGTTAGAATTACTGATACATTATCAGGATATTTTTGTTGGACCTGATGGTAGATTTGGGAGAACAAATCTTGTGAAACATAGTATAGATACTGGTGATTCTAAGCCTATTAAAATTCCACCTCGTAGGTTACCTTATGCTCAGAGAGAAATAGTAGAGAAGGAGATTTCAAAGATGCTTGATAATGATGTTATAGAACCTAGTGATAGTCCTTGGTCAGCTCCCTTGTTGTTAGTTGCTAAGAAAGATGGTTCTTGGAGATTTTGCGTGGACTATAGGCAACTTTACTCAGTTACTAAGAAAGATGCTTATCCATTGCCCCGCATAGATGAGTCACTTGATTCTTTAGCTGGAGCTTCCTGGTTCAGTACACTAGATTTAGTTTCAGGGTATTGGCAGATGGAAACGTCAGATAAGGATAAACCAAAAACAGCTTTCTCAACTCATATGGGCTTATTCCAGTTTAAAGTAATGCCCTTTGGCATGTGCAATGCCCCTAGTTGTTATGAGAGGTTAATTGAGTTAGTTCTTAGAGGTCTCAGATGGGAGAAATGTTTATGTTATTTAGATGACATCATTGTGTTTGGATGTAGTTTTGACCAAGCTTTGAAAAATCTTAAGCTAGTGTTTGATAGACTCAGGTCAGCAAATTTGACTTTGAAACCCTCAAAGTGTGTACTATTTCAGAGAGAAGTGTCATTTTTAGGTCATGTGGTGTCTGATAAAGGAATTCAGTGTGATCCTAGTAAAATTGACAAAGTTAAGAAATGGCCTGTACCTAGTAATGTCACAGAGGTTAGAAGCTTCTTAGGGTTAGCAGGATATTATAGGAGGTTTATTCCTGAGTTTTCCACCTTTGCAGCCCCTTTAACATATTTGACAAGAAAAGGGAAGAAATTTTGTTGGACTTCAGATTGTCAGAAATCATTTGAGAAACTTAAGGAACTCCTTTGTTCAGCTCCTGTGTTAGCTTACCCCGATAGTACCTCAGAGTTCATCTTAGATACAGATGCTAGTTTGACAGGTTTAGGTGCTGTTCTATCTCAAGTGCAAAATGGCGAGGAGAAGGTCATTGCTTATGCTAGTAGGACTTTGAATAAATCCCAAGTCAGATATTGTACCACTTATAAGGAGTTATTGGCAGTAGTTACTTTCATTCGCCTGTATAGACATTTCCTTTGGGGTAGACATTTCACGGTTAGAACAGATCATGCTTCCCTTGTGTGGTTGAAGAACTTTAAGAATCCAGAAGGAATTTTGGCTAGATGGCTTTCAGTTTTGGAGACTTATGATTTTTCCATTCAACATAGGCCAGGGAAATTTCATTGCAATGCTGATAGTTTGTCAAGAAGGCCTTCCAGTTATTGTAAGCGTGAGGATTGTCCTGATTGTCATTTGGGGGATTGTGTGGATTCTGGTGGTCGAACAGGTGCACCGAAGCAAATGGACAGCATATTATTGTCCTCGGCCGCTAAGGTTGCTCCTGTGAGAACCGACCAATGGTTCAACTCGGCGGAGTCAGGGTCCCACAATTCTGTTGATGACAATGGTGATGATAGTTGTGATCTTGTACCTAACTGGTTGGATACTTGGTCAGTTAATCAGTTGAGAACTTGGCAACAAGAAGAACCTGCAATTAGGCAATTTATTAGGTTAAAAGAAAGTTCCATTGTTAAACCTCCTAGGCATGTTGTTTTGGATGCTTCTCCTGACTTAAAAACTTATTGGGGATTATGGGAATCTCTAGAAGTCAAAGAAAACATGTTGTATTACAAGTGGAAGTCATTAGATGATAAGGAGTGTTTGTTGTTGATTGCTCCTAGACACATTAGATCTCAGATATTTCATGAGCTGCATGAGAATAAAACTGCTGGTCACTTAGGTAGGGAACGTACCATTAAATCCATAAAGCGTAGGGTATATTGGCCTGGTATGTCTTCAGACATTAAACGTTGGTGTAGAGAGTGTGATGTTTGTGCCCGAGCAAAAGCTGGTCCAGGTCTTGGGAGGTCATCTCTTCATCAATCAGTCATAGGTGCTCCTTTAGATAGGTTAGGAGTTGATATTTTAGGCCCTTTACCCAGAACAAGTAATGGTAATGAATACATCATAGTTCTCTGTGATTATTTTTCTAAGTGGGCTGAAGCTTATCCAGTACCTAATCACACAGCTTTGACAG